GTAGTGAACAACCTTGGTGCATTAGTATTCTTTTCGTATTGGAGACATATTAAATCTCACATTTCACCGGACCTCTATTACTATAGATAATTTGCACTGTCAACCAAGTAGATGTAATGTTTCTCATATCAAGCTTTTTTCACGGCCTCGCACCTCAGATGAATGACCAATGATAGGTTCGTTCTTAATCCTAAAGCCGATAAACCCGTATTCCATCCAATCCTATATAAATTCACAATAGGGTACTGGCTTACCTATCGGGCAAACTAGGCCTTAGTGTATACAAATAAACCCCCTTTGCTAGACACCGTCGTTGTAACCAAGGTGGCCGCTTGCTTACATCTATTCTTCTAACATCGTTAGCACGCCTTCCATTATCCTGCTGCAGTTACCGTCCTTGTCTCTGCTCCCCAAGCCTAAATGATATACAATTTCCTCTCACTACTGAGCCTTCTAATTTTTCTGACAAAGTTGCAGTAATATTACGAGTAGGAAAGGGTAATTTAAATCAGAATAATTATAGACAATTAAGTAAATTTGTACATTATTATAGAAGGCCCTGAAATTTTATAGCATAATCCTCAAGAGTTTATGATCGCACAGCGATATGTATAACCACTAGACGTATCCTTGAGAAACAATTTATATTGCATATACATACTCCAAACGTAAAACCCTTCTATGCGCTTAAAGGAAGCCCAACAGATGTGAGATAAAAAGTGGTAGTGTTGACAACATATATATATATACATATATATGCATGCTAATATACCTGGCTGCAAACTTTCTGTAACAGCTGCCCAGCCCATCAATGGAGGAATAGCGCCGACAAAAGCACCAATCCAGGTATTTATTTGGCTAAGTCGCTTGAGTGGCGTGTAGACAAAGCAGTAAAGGAGCATGTTGAACGCCGCTAGTTCGGTCACTAATGGATTGGTGTATAAATGCAGCATTGATAGGCCTGAAATTGCACAGCTGATAGCAAATAATGTGGCGCGTCCGGGTCTTATAGTGAGCAAAGAGAAAATAGAATAGTTTATGAATTTAAAATAGTTGAATCGATGTCTATGCAAATTATGCCTCTGAGTCAAATACTGATATTTGTCTGAAACAAGGCTTAAAAAATAAATAATTATTTCTTGGGATAATTTCAACATCTTTGAGGACCCTTTAATGATCAATAATTGGCAGTCTAGGAGAAGAAACGTACCAATGCGCTTTAATACAGTTAACAGGTAAAGTTCAAAAAAAGGCTGATTAGATAACATAGATCGCAAAATGGATGTGGAAGCAATCAGCGAATCGAGAATTTGTCAATTATTACTCAAAGGGTAGTGGATTGGCTATTATGAAATTAATAATACCCGCTACTCCTAATCAATTCAACTCTCCTGAATTCCAAAAACAGGTTCGAAGTCAAAGTGATAGCCGCTTAAACTCATCTAAAGAAACGAAAAAGTCGTTGATATTTCGAGACGGATATTTAAAATATGTGAATAATCGGAAGGAAAACCCAAACTCTTATGTAA